GAGTATGGTTCCGAACTTGTTACAGTCTCTTGGAGGGTTACATTGCACATAGTGAATGGGCTTGCCTCTGAGCCCCCCAAATTAGGCATTTTGGTCGAACTGGGTGACCAAGATTTTGATGTTCTTTACTATTTTCGTTGAATGATTGGCCACTTTCACACGAGTACACAAAAAGAACGTCGAAATCCTTAACAAATCTGGTATCAGAGCCACGGGTTTCTGGAATACCGAGCCACAGCCTACTCTAAGAGGATTTTTTTTAATCCACATTTAATGATATTTTTGTTACTGAATATTTTTTCTTGGAATTGTTACTGACTGTTTTTTTTTTGTGCAGTGGCTGAAAGCTATAACTGGAGAAACTGGATTTCTAGTCTTGAAAGGCGAATTTGAGTATGTCTAATTTAAAATGTCAACCATGCAGTGGGTGAGACCGTTCTAACTGACTTTACTCATAAACTGAAAAGCATGCTCTTGGTGTTCTTGAAATTGAATAATACTAGTTAATAAATTTTGAGAACAATTTTGGTCTTGTATATGATATCTATATAAGTTGATCTTGAAGCATGTTTTAAGTTAGTAATCTCAATATACTGTATGATGCGATCTTGAGATTGGGTATTGGTTGACTGTACCATGATAGTTTAACATACTCTTGTGAATACTACTTTGTCATTCTTAAATCAGTTTACCTTTTAATTGTTGAAATTCTTTCAAAACATTTTTTGCACTTAAGTGATTAACATTTAAGAATCACTTATATCCACTAGTAATCATCACTCTTTTACAGAACCTATAATGGGTTCGAAGGTCGAGTTGTCTCAATTCGATGGAAAGGGGGATTACTCGATATGGAAGCAGAAAATGAGGGCTATATTAGTCCAACAAAGGGTCGCTAAGGCCCTGGATGATCCTGCAACATTCTCTGATGAATTAAAGGCTAAACCTAATGAAATTGAAGAAATGAATGACATTGCTTACAGTTCAATTATCTTGCATTTATCTGACAATATTATGAGACAAGTTGAGGAATCTAAAACGCCTAGAGCCTTGTGGACTGCACTTGATGCATTGTTCTTGAGCAAGACACTGCCTAATAAAATCTATTTGTTAGAAAAATTATTTAGTTTCAAGATGGACACTGGAAAAAACCTTGAAGCAAACTTGAGTGATTTTAGTATTCTGGTAAAGAGTCTAGCACACAATGACAAAAAATTTGATGATGAAGACGTTACAGTTATATTACTTAACTCATTACCTAAATCTTATAGAGATATAAGGAATGCTATAAAACACTCAAGGGATGACTTAACTCAGTCTATAGTAACAAATGCTTTGAGAGCTAGAGAATTAGAGGTCAAGAAAGAATCTAAAACTCACCCAAAAGAGGAAAGCATGTTTGTGAGAGGGAGATCTGAAAAGAAAGAATACCATATCCAGAATAGAAAATTCAGATCTAAATCCAGAGGTAGATCCAAATCTAGGGATAAAAGTAATAAAAAGTGCTATCAATGTGGAAAACTTAAACACTATAAAAGAGATTGTTTTGAATTCAAGAAGAAACAAAAGGATCAAAGTACTGTTGACTTGAATAATGCAGCTGTCGCTCATGACTTAGATAGTCTTCTTGTAATGATTGTGTCTAACGATGATGGTGATAAGGATTGGATCTTGGACTCTGGATGCACATTTCACATAAGCCCTAACAGATCTTGGTTTTATAACTAAAAACCAATTGAACCTAGGAAAGTGTACATGGGAGATAACAACTCACAAATTGCACATGGAATTGGTGACATAACTATTAAAATGCATGATGGCATTGTGAGATAAATTAAAAATGTTAGGCATGTCCCAAACTTAAAGAGAAACCTTATCTCATTAGGGGTCCTTGAAGATGAAGGGTATACATTTAAGTCTGATAATACACTAAAGGTGATGAAGGGATCACTTCTTGTGTTGAAGAGACCCAAAAGGAATGGACTCTATTATCTTGATGGAGAAACTGTGACTAACCAAGATAATAGTTCTTTAGCTGTGACTGAAAGTAAGTCTGAACTTTCGCATAATAGAATGAGTCATATTGGTAACAAGGGCTTGAAATATCTAAGTAACCAAAAATTACTTGGGAAGGATATAATAGAACCTCTACAATTTTGTGAGACTTGTGTATTAGGCAAGTCACATAAGGTGAGTTTCAATGTAGGGTCTCACACCACAAATAGACCTTTAGATTATGTATACTCTGACATATGGGGACCTGAAAGTCATCGCACTTTTGGCGGGAATAGATATTTCCTGTCTATAATTGATGACTATTCCAAGAAAGTTTGGGTTTACCCTTTAAAGGCTAAATCTGAAACTTTCCAGAAATTCAGAACCTGGCTTAAAATGACAGAAAATCAACTGAACAGGAAATTGAGAACATTAAGGACTGACAATGGATTAGAGTTCTGTAATTCTGAATTTGAGAACTTTTGTAAGCAAAAAGGGATAGTCAGACGTAGGACTGTTAGAAACACACTCCAACAAAATAGGGTTGTTGAAAGAATGAACAGGACTCTTATGAATAAGGTTAGATGTCTTCTAATCAGCTCAAGACTTGCAAAAGGGTTCTGGGCTGAAGCTGTTTGTACTGCTGCATATTTAATAAATAGGTCCGCTAGCAACTTCGTTGATTTTAAAACACCCCAAGAATTGTGGACTGGAAAACCACCTGATTTGTCCAACATTAGAGTGTTTAGATGTGCAGCATATGCACACCAAACAAAAGGAAAATTGGATCCTAGGGCAACTAAATATATTTTACTAGGACATCCTAAAGGGGTAAAGGGCTATAGACTGTGGGTGTTGGATAGCAAAGGCATAAATATTATCAACAGTAGAAATGTTGTGTTTAATGAATCTGAAATGCCATGTCTGAAGAATAAGAATGAAAAACAAACTAATCCAAATAAAGGAAACATTCCTACTAATGAAGTCAGGTTAACCAGGTTCATTAACCCATCACCTGAGGATAATAAACCTAATGTACAGGAAGCTTCAGAGAGAGTTGAGGAGTCAGATGAAGGTGAAGTTAGTTCCCCCAACATATAAAATGAACTTGAGATAGAAACCACTCCTAATAATCCTAACACTATACTCATTAATCAAGATTATCAACTTTTTAGGGATAGGGAAAGAAGGCAAGTGAAACCTAATCCCAGATATCACATTAATAACCTGACTGAGTTTGCCTTAACTTCGGGTGAAGCATTAGAAAATTCAGAACCCACTAACTTTGAGGAGGCTACGAATTGCCGTAATGCTGCTAATTGGAAGGTTGCAATGAGAGAAGAAATGTAGTCCCTAACTGAAAATAAAACTTGGAAGTTGGTAAAAAGGCCTAATAATCAGAGAATCATTCAGTGTAAGTGGATTTACAAGTTAAAGGAAGGGAATAACTCATCTAAATCGGTTAGATATAAAGCTATGCTAGTCGCCAAGGGCTTTACTCAAAAAGAAGGAGTGGATTATAATAAAATATTTTCACCTGTCATAAAATATAAAACCATAAGAATGATTCTTGCACTAGTTGTTCAATTCAACTAGGAACTTGAACAATTAGATGTCAAGACTGCATTCTTACATGGTGAGTTAGAAGAGGACATTTATATGTGTTAGCCTCAAGGTTTTGAGGTGAAAGATAAACATGATTTTGTGTGTAAGTTACAAAAATCCTTGTACGATCTTAAACAAAGCCCGAGGCAATGGTATATAAGGTTTGACACATATGTGCTAAAAACTGGATTCAAGAGGAGTGAGTATGATCACTGTTTATATTTTAATAAGGCTAAGGTTGGAAGTGAAGTGTACCTTCTTCTCTATGTAGACGATATGCTTCTAGCAAGTTCCAGTATGCCTGAAATTGAAAGACTTGAGAACCTCTTGAAATCTAAATTTGACATGAAAGACTTAGGCAACACCAAGAAAATCCTAGGGATGGTCATAAAAAGAGATAGGCTGAGCAATAAACTGACAATATCTCAAGAATCCTATCTGAATAAAGTTATAACCAAGTTCGGTATGAGAGATGCCAAGTCTGTAAGTGTATCTCTAGCTGCCCACATGAACCTCTGCATTGCTCAATCACCAAAAACTGAAATTGAAATGAGAGAGATGAGAAACATTCCATACGCTAATGCAATAGGGTCTGTGATGTTTTCAATGGTTACAGCAAGACTTGATTTAGCCCATGCTATTAGTTTTCTAAGTAGATTTATGTCAAATCCTATTAAACCCCATTGGACAGGTTTAAAATGGTTACTAAGATATATTTTTGGAACATTAACCATTGGTTTGACTTTTGAAAAGAGATCTGAGAACTTAACTCTGGTTGGATATGTAGATCTGATTTTGCTGGTGACAAAGATCAGAGAAAATCTACTTCAGCTTTCTTTTTTACATTGAGGGGAAACTGTATTACTTGGAAATCTCAGTTACAACCAATAGTCACTCTATCTAGTACTGAGGCAGAATATATAGCCATCACTGAATCTGTAAAAGAGTGTTTGTGGCTAAAAGGAATCTTAATTGAATTAAATTTTCTGCAAGAGACCCCAACAATTCTTACTGATAGCCAGAGTGCTTTACTATTGAGTAAGAACACAGTGTATCATGAGAGGTCTAAATACATTAAGGTGAAGTATCACTTCATAAGAGAGAAGATATCTTCTAGTGATGTGAATCTTGAGAAAATTCACACTGATGAAAACCCATCTGATATGGGGACGAAAATTTTAACTATTAATAAATTTAGATCATGTTTGTCTATTCTCCATATTGATACTGACTGATTTTTCTTGCAGGTACCAAGGACAATGTTAGTTCTTATGTGCAAAAGTTAGTAGCCTTTTATGGCATGCATTTATTGCGTGCATGTACGACATGCCGTAAAAATAAATTAATTATGGCGTGCAGTAAATGTACGCCGTTAAAAACCAATGAATTCAACCATTTACAGACGACGCACTTTTATGTGCTCGCCGTCTCCTGGAGCGGTTTTTGCCCTTTATAAGATCAATATTGGAGAGAAAAATCCCATTAAAATTAAACCAAACACCACTTGAGAGGAAACCTTTTGCCTTCAAATTCGAAATCCCTAGATTCTTCCCGCCGGCTATTAGACCTATAATACTTACAAGTTACACGATTCAACCCGTCATCCCTTCTCCCTCCTCCTCTCAATTTAGCCCTTGTTGCGAGCCTGCGACCATTCAGTCGAGCTAGATTTTGCGAGAACTGCCGCCGCCTTTTGCCTCCCATCATTGTCATCCGTCTCCCGCTTGCCATCGCAGTCAACCCATAAACGGAGTGATAAGGTTAGTACAAACTGTAAGTCATTAGTCTTGATTTTACAGACTGTCTTCTCAATTAATTATGCTGAATTTGGGATTTTTGTGCTTATGGAAAGTCATAGCATTATGGATTCTTTTACTCAGGCCAATCCCCAAATTTTAATACACCAAGCCAACTAATTATCTGAACTGGTTCTTTTATATACTATTGTTGAGTTTCCAGAAGTGACCTATAAAAACGTACAAATTTGCTGAAAATAATTTAAACAGTGGTGTTTAAATGTTTGGTTTATATAGATTCAATATATGTTTATTTACAATCATCACTGTTTTGTGCCAATATGTTGAATATATTTTACTGAAATTTACATATATTTTGTTTTGTGTACGAATTTTTAGGAAAATGCAATTGTACACAAAAATAATGTTTATTTACAATCACCACTGTTTTGGGCCAATATGTTGAATATATTTTGTTGATTTAGTTAACAAATTCAGCATAGCTGATTGTATTTGGAAAATCAATAAGGAATTAAATGTTGAAGATTTTCCTCGAAAACACAATTCTGGAAAACCGCATGATATTTACAAGGACCTACATATCCAAATTAAAGGACTAAAACTTGATTAGCTAACCGCTTCCTTTTTTACATTTGTTGTCAATTTCTAAAGATGATTATGGAGTTTTGTTAAGATAGAGTAAAATACTTGTATTCCATTTCAAAAATGAAAGTTAATATTGAAAGAGGTTAAGCTATACCGTTATTTAAGCAATACAGCAGTGATGAGCTGAATCAATAGTACATAGCTACAAGGACTTCCTGTAGACACCAAGACTTATTTAAAGCTAACTTGTCCATTTTCAAATATGAATACAGATGAATAACAGAATAAGGTACTGCTCATGACTATTGTCCTTGATGACTGGTTAGATAAATTTCTTGTTTATGACCTATATACACACCTCGTGCATCAAAATGTTATATCCATATCAAGGAAAACACAAGTAGAATGTGTTTGTTAGCCACACATTTGTAATAACTTGTCTGACAATCAAAATTCATTCTCCCCTGCCCCCACTATGTCTCAGGTTAAAGAAAAGGGCAATGGCTTAATACATTACTTATCTCTTCTGAGTGTGACATTATACTTTCTTACTGCAGTTGCAGTTATTTTGCCATGGAGAGAGAGGAAGAAAACATTTACTTGTTTTCTCTTGCTGGTTCTACTTTATCATATGCTACCACCAATATGTAAGCATAAACATTGTAGTTTTCTTTGGTGTATGATGCTATCAGCTCTTTATATAGATATAATTTCATTGCTTGTATACCTCTTTTTTAGAATTGTCCACTAGTGTCTTCTTGAGCATTTTGCTAATATACTTCTGGTTAGCTCAATATACCTTGAATTTATGAATGCACGAATTCATTCAACTTAAGCAAATAATAAAGTTTGTTTCATTTGGAGTTATCGAGCATCTCTAGCAATTTCATAAAATGGCTTCAATTTGATGAAGGATAAGGCGACGATTTCAACAAACGGATCCATTTTGCAAAAGCAAAACGGTAATGAAATAGCCTTTGTCCGTTTAAATTGTATAAAATAATAGAATAAGATGTAATCTCTGTAGTTTGATTTGCATCAAACTAACATTATACTTTTTGCTCAAATATTTTGACCCTAAATGTCTTAAGTTGAAAACTTTTGTTGAACTCTTATAGGTTCTGAATTCATGTGCCGAAAGGAAGGTTTTCAAGACACTGAGCTCTTTTAACTAAAGAAGATTGCTACCATATTTGACGGACATTGTGAAAGAAAAATCCAGTAAGCTTCTTCACTTGTTTTTTTTTTTTTTTTCCTCTTATGAGAATGAGCGTTGAGATAATTAATCTGATAGTATGGCTTCATGCTTGGAAACTAATAGTTGTATATATAAATTTTTTTTCTCTGTAGGTGCTTCAGCTATTGAAATAAGAATTTCCAAATAAATTGCAGAGTTAAGTGGTTTGAGTTCTAAAATGCCTTCATTGATTGAAAATGGTTGTGCTGCTAAACTTGAGTGTATTGGAGCATGGACTAATCCTGCAGATAGTTTCGAGTTGACTTTAATAATGATGAATTGAGTAGTAGTGTGCTCTCCATGTTCTAGAGGATGGATATGCAGTAGCAGCTCATACATGCTTGAGGTAGAAGGAAGAACTTTCTTGGGAAGAGCTTGGGGGGATTATTCACGAGTTATATATTCGTAGTGTGAATTTGATGCCATTGTAAGACCAGAATGATGGAATAACTGGAGGAAACAACTAAATGAACATATTTTTTTAAAAAAAAAAAAATAAATTTGACATTTACGGCGTGCATGCGCATGCCGTATAAAGTCGATATTCTTGCATTTACGAAGTGCAAGTGCACGCCATAAATAGTCGTACTGTTATTTACGGCGTACACATGCACGCCGTAAATAGTGAATACTTTTACGGCATGCATTTCCACACCGTAAATAGTTCCTAACGGCGTGCATTTACGACCTATTTATGGCATTGCCTTATACGGGATGTGGCTGCGCGCCGTAAATAGGCTTTTACGGCACGCAATGCATTCCGTAAAATGTCCATTTTGTTGTAGTGGGAACAAGGGCTGTTTGTACATTATGCCTACAAGGAGTCCAATTTCATGTCTCAGGAATCGAACCCCTACACTGTGACTGTCAGCAAGACGTGAGATGACTTCACTCCTAGCCTTTGCACCACTGTATATGGACTATAAAATTGTTTGGGCCCATAAAATTTTTTCACCGAATGAAAAATTTCATGAGTTATAAATGGTAAATAATGGGATTCAAAATGCTATCTTAACTAATAAAAATTTTAATACGATATATAAATAATAAATCTATTTATTACGTTAATTTCGGCAATCACGGTTTAACCTCGGTTCGACTATTTACCCTTGACCCTTCAAGTTTTTTGGGTCAATGACTAGGCTGGTTTTCAAAACTTTGTGTAATTATGTTTGTATGCTGTAATTAATATGATTACTAGTGAATGATAATTATACCCTCTATGATACTAATTTCTTTATTATTATTTAGTCTAATATAAAAATATATTTTATAACGCCACGCACATAAACAATCAATTCACGTTAATGGGAAAAATGCAAATTTTATGTTAATATATATATACCTTTTCAATTCGATTCGTGTTAATAAATTCAAGCAAATATTTCATGTGTGTTTATAAAGTAACTAATATTATCATTGTGATGTATGATTTTAATGTTTCATCATTGTTTTTTATTTTTTTTTGTAATAAAACATTAATTATTAAATTTATTCTTAATTGTTGTTGCTCATGAAGTAACACAATATTATAATTAATATTTTAGAAGTAATCTACTCACTTCTAAATAGCATGAATTATAATTTTCAATATTTAAGAAAAATACTGATTTATTGTTCTTGAAGAAACAATAGTAAAATAAAACATGCTTTTGAAGTAGCACATTATAATTTTTGATTAATAATCTAGTTAGATTTACTTGATCTCGAAAAGCAAAATCATGTAAGACCACACACACACACACACATATTTTATTCTTGAAGAGAAAATTTTTACATAATTTGTTACTCCATAAATAATAAAATGTTATTACTACTAAAGAGCATGATATTATAATTATAATTTTCAAAAGAATATTAACCTATTGCTCTAGAAGAAGCATCTACTAGAAGAATAATCAATATTAACCTATTTCTCTAGAAGAAGCATCTACTAGAATGAAATATGATTAAGATATTTAAATATTCAAGAAGAATATTGCTTAATTATAATTATTTGACTCAATTAATACAAATCAATATTTTAGAAAAATATTGTGTTGCTATAAAAGAAGCACAATTTTATGTTTATTAATATTCTTGAAGAGTAATATGTTGTTATTTTTTAAAAATTACGAATTAGACATTTCAATATAAACATTATATTGATCTTGGAGAACTGCAATTTTAATTAAAATTGCTTTTAAAGAAGCAATAGTTTATTTTTATCAATATTCCTGAAAAATATTGTTTATAGACTCAAGAAAAGTTAATATTATTTTATATGAATGAATAAATTTGCTATTACTAGTAATTTATTCTCCACTAAATAAATTAGAAAATTATAAAGTTTTTAATATTGTTTCTTAATTGGTACAATGTACTAAACTCTAATGACCATTTTGATAAATATTGTATTGAATAAGAAGTTCAATAACTCTTTCAATTTTATTGTTTGGCTTGTCCAATTAGATCATTACTGAATCAATAATGATGTGAAATGAGAATTCAAATAAACATTTAGCGAAGAACCATGATATTTTTTTAATTCAATTAATTCCTATATGTTATTTGTTCTCTTTATTGAAAATAGGCCATTGATCATTACTGGCCAAAATAGGGATTGAATTCCCTATTTTTCTGGCAATCTAAAATTTGCAAAATTACTGCTCAAATTTTAAATTATGAGCATTATTTCTATATTACATAATCAAGACAGTGTGTCTCATTAATGCTAGTGAACCTAAATCCCAATCTTTTAATAAGTATTAGTTGAAATGTTGATAAATGGTTTAACTTTGTTGCTCGCCTAATACATCCAATTAATTTAATTGAAAACAAATTAAGTTTTATTTCTATCTATGGAATGCCATTTTGTATCATAACAACGTGAAATTTTCCCTGATATAACTTGGCTTATGGTCGAAGTTTAAATTTTTTTCATCTAATTATTTTGATAGTGTAGCATATATAAAATTGACCAACACAATACACTGAAACATAAACGTAAAGAATGTTGACGATAAATGAGTAATTTGGACCTTTATCTTAAATGGGTGACATTTTTATAATGTGGTTTTCTGATTGTCAATATAATTGAACAATTTTTTTAACATTTGGGGGATGAATTAAGAAGTTTATATTGAAAATTTTATAATACTTTAAACTTTATAAAACTAGAAGCTTTAGAACTTGAAAACCTAAATTTCTTTATTGCTAAGACCTCCATGTCAAATCGCCAAAAAAATTAATAATGCAAAGCACACTTTAATTCTTTGGGAATGATTTTTTATTAATGGATCTAGATTCCGGATCTTAAATATTGAAAATCCACTGCAATACTTCATATTTGACTTCTTTACTTTTAATCTTGAGTTTGGTCTCTTTTGATTATTTAATTTTTGTTCTTGATTCTGTTTCTTGAACCATAATCTTGAATCTTTAATTTATTCTTCTTGATTCTTGATTGTAGGTTTTAGATTTTCCCTTTCAATATATTTTCTCTTGTATTCTTGTGTTGAAGGAATAACACAAAGAATGAGAAGTTACATATAAATTGGGGATCATAATGCTAAATATAATTTTTCATATGTATTTCGCCCATCATAAAATACAATTCTAAAGAAATCTGGTATCTACAGACATAATCCGGCCCACACTTTTATTTAGATGCCCTAGCCCAACAATTTAATTCTTTATTGGATCACTTTAATTTTGGACTTAACTTCAAGATAGCCTTATACACAATTAATTATATATGCAAACCCACATGACAAATTAAAATTTTCCCAACAATCTCCCATTCGGGTCACATATGTTACTTGATAAATGTATATAACCTTATTACTTCAAAATTTTGTCATCATAACCAAAAGCATTTCCGAACAATCCCGTCCATCAATTACGTCAATATAAAATCAAAGCGATCTTCGTTATAAATATCATAACTAAACTCTCAATGGTCATATATATCAATACAATCAAATGACATAAATCAGTTGTGGATATGTAGTATGGAAATTACATGCAATGTGATCCAAACTTGTCTATTTTCAATTGGTCATACCTTAGTCTTTAATGAGATCAACCATAAATTTTAATCGGAGTGGAACTAAATTGAACGCTTTATTTTTGAAATAAATCGAATATCTATGGATATAATTATATGTCTAAAACAGACAACATCCGAATAAAAACTCCTACTAAATTGACATATTATCAAAAGATGCAACCCCGTGTGAGCAATATACTCATGAAAGACCTTGGGTGATATCCCCTTAGTAAGGGGATCCACAATTATAGAGTTTGTCTTAATTATTCTATAAAAATTGAACACTATGAATTATTTTCTTATTAACTAGAAACTTGATATCTATAAATTTTGACATTATTAAGTTCGTGTTAGAATATAAGACTATTATTGTCATGAAATAACTAAAGCGGTCTTTCAAATCCATCCAAAATGTGTAACCTAGTGACAAAATTTCACAGACATATTTCATGATCAGAATCAGAATATCCAATGATCTCCAATTGGTCTAATTATCTTGAATATGATCACGTAATCCTTAATTCTCTATAAATACTGAATAATCTAATTGGTTATTTTCCAAATTCTACCCCATAGTTGTCTAAATATCTACCTAGCATTCAAATAATGAATATTATATCTAGACGTATGCAAACAATAGAATACATTAAACTCTCAGTTGTTGAAGTACATGGAATTTTCCGTAGTTTCCTTTTTTTAGTTTATCACTGGGGTATTAATTGAGACTAAACTTGTTTCCCTTAGTAATAGGGGTATCACCTAGTTTACGGACATGCATCCAAAATCCTTTAAGAACTTTATTAATATAGCTCTTTTTGTAATAATCCACATATAATCTGAGAACAATCTTGACGTATTTATATCCCTGACACAAAAGAGGCATCATCAAGATCTCATTTCAAATATTCATAATAGAAATCTCTTAATTTCATGCAATAAACATATATCATTGTAGGCAAATAGTATGTAATCGACATACAATACTTGAAAAATATGCTTAATGCTACTGAACTTGTGATATATACAATCACAAACTGTATTTATCTAAAAACCAACCCAGATAATAATTTAATGAAATTTGTGATACTATTGATAGGAAATTTGCTTAAGCCCATAGATTGATTTCTTTAATTTGTAAACTATCAGATGTAACTCAAGATCAAAATGTGTCACAAGTGCCATAATAGACCTAGAAGATTCTTTCGTAGAAATCGGAGAGAAAGTCTATTTAAAGTCAATGCCTTCTTTTTGAGTAAACTTATTCGCATCAAGATGAACCTTATATCCTTTCTCATTACCATTCAAATCTCTCTTGATTTTAAATATCCATTTATAACCAATAGGTTTCGCACCTTCAGGTAATGAGATGAATTCTCAAACGTCATTGTTACTCATGAACTTACCTCTTTATTTATGGCATCAATCTACTCTTGAGAATTATTCCTTTGCCTTGTATGATGAAAGTTGATTAATGAAATTTTCTTCCCCCAATACCATACCATCTTTACTATCTTGGAGAAAG